TGCTTCACTTCCCAATTGTACTCCACAGAGTAGCAAACAACAGAAAATGAATGGATAATGATAGCTGCATCCCAATGAACAAAATGTGATTACCTAAATCGAGGTTTCATCACTTTCATTAATCTAAAATGAATTAGAAATTATTTTTCTATTTTCAAATTTCTTCCATGTGCATGTAATAAAAATTGGTTATGTCTTAGGCCCTAAGGATCTGAAACCTGCTGGTCAAAATGGAATTACGGACCAGTTGCAATGTTATTCTCCTATACCCAGTGAAAAAATCAACTGGTCTGTATCAAAAATAACCTGATAATGACCAGCGGACCGGCCCTTAGAGGCTACATTGTAATGTGCTGGGAGGTTTAGGCTACAGGGTTTATACCGAGGGAAATATGTGGGGGACCGTATTGGCATCATTGGTTTCAATGCATTGTACTTCTGCCTTAGTTTCAAAGGCATTAAATTCTTTTTGAAGGGTGTCCAGAGATTCCAAAATTAAGAAATAATTGTACTTATTTGAGAAATTGATTTTAAAGTTTTATAAATTGAATTTTCTTTATTTTATTAAATAATATTCTTTGGTTTTTGAAGATTTTTTTACAAAGCAAAACATTATTTTTCATTCTAGATACAATAACATGCATATTGGCATACTTTGTTTTAATATGAGATTGTTATAACTCCAAGTTTTGCAAGTCACATGACCAATTCTTAGAGAGTTGATTGGTTGAAACAGTTGATATCAGATATGACAATTTGAAATTAGAAATAAGCTGTTATTCCGGTGGGAAATTGTATCAACTCCATTTCCATAGTTTTAAAAAAGGATCTTGTAAATTGTTTCAAGGTATGATATTTCATATAAGATATCTCTAGGGTGAGACCAGGTGACATACAAAAAATCAAGTTTCACATAGCAATACTAAGTAAGATACAGACCTCTAAACTTTCAAACCTTGATTTCTCAGTTCCGTAAAAATGTGAGATAGTACAAAGTTATTCTCATGCGACGACTTGTGAAATTGCAATGATACTGCTATTCAAGATAAAAATATAATTTAGAGCATGTCTGATAATGCAAAGCAAGCATAAGGTGTATTTGGTCAAATGTTCCAAAATCACTTGCATTTTGTAAATTTTGTATAGCTTTGGTTTCGTTCACATAAGCGTTTGCATAGTTCATTATTTTATACTTTTATATATAGTAGTATCTTTAGGGTTAGATTGATATTCATCTTTAAAGCAAATGTCATTACATCCATAAGTGTAATCTAAAACTACAGCATTATATTTTCTAGTCTCACTTATATACTAATCTAGCAGGTTAGAATACTTTATGTTACATTCAGAGTACATTCCAAAGCAACAGGTCACCATTTAGGTTGCCATGTTAGTTTGCTTGATAGTGTATTGGCTTACTTGGTGGAGCTGCCAGGATTTGTATAAAGTTAAGTTTATGTTAGCTCAGAGTTTACAATTTTTAATAAGTAGACATTTCATGTAAAGGAGGGGTATGTGTGGCAAAGTGACATGCCACAGTGCTATGTAACGTAACAGGTCCCTAGCTTTAATACGTAATAATGACAGGTCCCCAGTTTTAGTTCTCAAGAAGAACGCTGGTGGCGCTGCAATCATTGGAACAAAATGTCAAATGTTTGAAAGGTGATGTATGTGACCCATTTTCTTCATCTTTATTACACCCATTTGCTTCGATATATTGTAAGATTTATGACAAAGTATCTTATCAAGGCTAAAGTATTGTTTTATTACTGGAGGAAACTAGTATATTTCTGTGCGAATTCATGTTCTAATGATCTATTTCCGGTGCGGAGTCTGCATTTTCGTTCGCACATGGCTTTTATTTTGGAAAAATGTGAATATCTCTACATAACTAGCATAGGATGACATTTTTGTGTCTATTTCTCACATGTTTATATATCCACTATATATTTGTGTACTTTTATGCTATTTCGAATGGATTTATCTCAAGCTCATTTCTCATGTATGTCCTTGGACATGTTGAATAAGTTCACATTACATTACCCCTACCATTTTATATCTATTTGGAAGTGTAATATACTATTTCAATGCAATCTGGATTATTCAGGTCATACGTTATGATGTTTGCATGGATTTTATATGGATTAATGTAGAGTTTCCATACTGGTGAGAATACTTGTAATGATGTTTAAGGGATCTGCACTAGAGTTAAGGCTACATCCAGTATAGGGATCCATACTAGAGTAATACTTCATCCAGAGTTATGAGTGTTAGGATGTTATGAGGGTCCATACTTGTGAACATAGCACATTTGGTCAGGGACTTACACCATTGGTATACTGTATATTGTAAGTATAGTATAGCACTTACTTGGTATGTACATGTAGATGGTCATTTATATACTCTTTCCATTCCATAGAATATCACATTTAGTAGATATTCTATAGGTCATTTTATAACAAGGTACATGTACAGTGTACAAGATTTATGTTTTTATTTCATAATTGTGTCAGTTTTAGTACAAATCAACCTCCGACATATGAGCTAGGTTTGTTAACATTTGTTATCCATGCTAGGTGTACAGGTTAATGGATTGCCATTAAGGTATGGACATTTGTACATACTTACTAGTATTCCATACCTGATGAGGTTTCAGGGACATGTCAACCGGGAATATATTCCATATCCGGGCAAATATTTTTCGTATGTCCCGCTCCAACGGAGCTCCGGGACATATAAATCGTATGTCCCGCTCAAAAATTGTAAAAAAAAATTTTAAATAAATTTTGAAAAAAAAATTGAAAATAAAAATTTGAAAAAAAATTGTGGAAAAAAATTTTGAAAAAAATTCTGAAAAAAAATTATGCAAAAAAATGTGAAAAAAATTTTGAAAAATTTTTGTTTTTCATTTTTGAAATACATGCTTTGGGAAACATGCTTATTATTTCAAACCTCATCAGGTATGGAATACAACAGTCATGCACGGTCGGTTTGGATACAGGAAATATCCCTTGGGATATACAATATACTGTATCTTCCCTTAGTCCCTTCGGTCCCTCGGTAAGATATATTGTATATCCCTCGGGATATTCCCTGTATCCAAAACCTCCCAGTGCATAACCCCTATTTATTCCATGCATGTTTTAGGGAAGACAAGCAGGTTGGATTACTGCATTTGTTTGATCTTCTATGGGTAAATTATACATTTGTATATTTTCCTTTATACATGGCGTTTTAGTAGATTTTATGGACATTTTGATACATAATGTTATAATCAGAGCATAGTGCACCATAGTTTGAGTAAGCATGGCAAGTAAGATCAAGCATTAATGATTCGTACTATTACTGGGATGTACTGGGTTTTCATATAATACTTTGTTTCTGTATTTGTAGCATCAATCCTGTTGCCCTTGTTTTGTCACACGCTAGTATCTACATACATGTCACAGTTGTAATAAAATACGTCATCAACTACAATTACTCATGTTATCTGTGTATATACCCCTTCTACGAGCCGCACTTGACCACATATACGCAATCAGGGCCAGTGAGGGCCGTTAAGAAAGGGGACCATAATCCCTGTGGGACCATCGTTCACACCGGACTTTTTAAGCATCAAACAAAAACAAAAGTTTGTTTCAGCTGTTATCAATATTTTGACAGTAGGTCAGAAACATGGACCTTTCCCTATAAGTAAGACACAAAGATCGATTTGTCTGAAATAAGTGATGGTAAATATCTTTATGAAGCTACTCGTATATGACCTTATCATTTCAATTAAATAAGTATAATCTGATCACAACGCCACTCAGGGGTACTTAATGGGATTGTTTTGTTATCGTCCTGGTAAGTACATAAAGGAGTTAAAAATTAGGGAATTAAGCTAGCTACACGTTTTTAATCAAGATAATCTGTACGTGGAATGAGGAAGGGGGGAAGTAATCCCTAAAGGACCATAATTCTGCAAAGTCACGTCTAGCTGATTACCTTCCCAATGCTTAGAGATCTCGTACGTGAACGTGAAGAATTGCTGGTCCCTTGTGATAAGTTTTCCCATTATAACATGTACACTGTACTTTCCCGAATGAGACGTAAGGTACTTGAGGAAAAGGTCCTAGCTATGTCCCTGGGAATAAAACAAATGAAATTGGGTGGTAAACCTTGGGCGTCATAATATTTGAAGTTCACGCACACGTTCTCCTAATGTGTGTAATATACGGTCCTCGGGCAGATATATTATATTTGCCTCGGGATAATCCCAATATCCTGAACCTCATATAGGATAATCACTATATACTCAATTGTGTAAATAATTTCTTCAAATGGGAGAACTGATCACCAATCAATAATGATTTTACACGTTCGCGTACAAGCTCTATTAAAAACGCGTAGCTAACCTCCCCAGAGTTACATATGGTCATGAGATAATCGGATATAAACAAACATGACTTTCCTTAGGCCTAAAACAAAAATTATAATCGAGTTAGAAATATTTACAAAATTACCTTCAAATCACATGGTTTTAAAGTTATTCGAAAGTCGCTCTGAAAGTGTTCATTTTTGGCAAAATTCAGAAGAAAATTGTAAGAAAACAAGGAGTGATTTATTAGTAAAAAACAATAATGATTGGACGAATGGTTCAGGCACTAGAAGTAGAATGGATGAAAAATGTTCTTTAAAAATAGTTTTAAATTGTTCATTTATATGAGTCTTTCAAAAATATATAGACAAATGAGTGGAATACATTATCGATCAATCATCATATGTTTTATGATACAGCACACTATTTTACACTGATACTTACCTGGCCACGAATGTGTATTGACAAATAAGGCAAATTGGTGATCATAAACACAGGGAATAAATACAAAGGCGACTTTCACTTTTTAATAATCCAGTTTTTATTGGCTACCTATTTCCCCTTACTTAAATTACACTATTGTAACACATGACTGACTGGGAATTAGGTATTTCACCAACATAAAACTACTTACCTGGTATAATAATCGGGCCTAATGGATCACTTCTGAGATGCACGGTGTGCGTAAATGACACTTATCACGATCAAAATAAATGGACTGGTTGTATGTTTGGATTTATCATCAGATATTTCAGATACTAAGGAATCCATATTACATATGTCGTATAACGTATGATGTTTGGATAGACGGGATTCACAATATAATGCAAATGAATTCGTGAAGTTGTGCCGCAAATTGGAGTAGCAAGATTGAGAATCTCAAGGATATTGGTGAAAAAACACAATAACGATCAATCCGACTGGTATTTCCATGGATCTGCCAATTTGGGTCCTCTTTCTCACAGGAATCGGAGTCCTGCTATTTTTGGTCCTCGTTGGCATAGGAATATACCATCTTGCGAAATATCTTCTAGAGAGACGTAAAAAACTAAAAGAACAACAGTCTTTTGAGAAAACGTATAGGATTAACCTAGGAGACTCTATATTTGAGGAAAATCCTATGCCATTTCTTCCGGAATATTGGAATAAACGTCGGAAAAAAGAAAAAAGTAAGCCGTGGGTTGATTCAGAGCAAAGTGATCCACAACATCAAAAATATGAGGATAATTTTGATGAAATATTTAGGTGCGGTAAATCTCTTGTTCCCGTCCGATCAGCTCATCGAGCTAAAAAATCAACCGATTCGGAATTGGATCACCTTACACCAACGACGAGCGCACTCGATTTGGACAGATCCAGCCGTACCCCTTTAAAACAAGCGGATCCTTTGTGGTATGACACTTCTTCTACATCAAGAAAAAATATATCAGAATTTGAGGAAACAGAATGTGATGCTTCAACTCCACGCCAACTCGATGACTTGAATTTTTATGGTCGTATGGACTATGGTAGTAGAAGTCTAAGTTCTGCTGACGTTCGGAACCTAAAGGAACAATTTGATGAAAGGCAATATCGGTCAACAGACCAATTGAGCTCATCCTTTGGCGAATTTGGCGGACCAAAGTCAAGAACTGCATCTGCAATTGATCTTAACAAATCCCCATCTCAAATGGATACATCAAAGCCATTTTTAAAATTCAGTGTTATTTTAGGGCCCGATGGAAACATTGGTGTGACACTTTTTGAAGTTATAGACATCCCAAGAAAATATCACAAAAGTACATTTTACATACGGGTGAATTTCTTCCCCAAGGTCAAGAAACCCCAAACTACACGCTTTATAAAGATCTATACAGAACCAATCGCAGTTTTTAATGAATGTTTCGAGTTTTGTGGAATTGATCAGGTGGACCTTGAGAAGAGCATTTTAAGATTCTGCCTCATGGCTCGAGATAGTGGCGTTGGCAAAGACAAAATGGTTGGTGATCTTGTTATAAACTGTTCTCGTCTAGAGTGGAGTGAGTCATCGACTATCTACTTTAGGCAGCTCAGCACAAAGAGGATTATGAAAAGGGTAAACAATGATTTAAATGTGGTTCACATTTCAGGTGACAACTTAAAGCACACAAGGCATTAACATGCAAAATGTCACAACCTGCCATTTGTTACAGATTCGACCGCTGAACGCCGAACACCAACCGCCTAACACTGTCAGAAACCAGTTGGGGACCATAACAGTAGTCCACCTCTTGTGGTGTTTACACTTTTGACAAGGGGAAAGTAGTATTAAGTTCAATCTAGAAAGACTTTCTATTTTGAGTTAATACTACTTTTCCATTGGTTTATGGTCCGTAGACATCAATAAGTCCAGTTTATTGACTGTATATATAGAGTGTCAAATAAGTTCCGCCCCCCTGCTACAGCTAAAACCCTAATAGATGGTACCTAGTGTACCTGGTACCTTTCCAATGATATAAATATCACACTTGGTAGCATATATCTTGGTTTTCGCTGTAGAGGGGGGACGGGACTTATTCGACACCATGTAGGTATCCTTAGCTTGACTTTTAATTATATTTTGCAAGACGTTATACCAAGTCCGCGAATATAACATTTAGGATCAACCGAATGAAGAGGTTCGAAGAAAATATAACATAAACTTTACATTAAGTGTATTTCGTATGCATCAGATTTACCATTGGTTTCTTCATCCTGACGCTATGTTTAAAATGTTATTAACCGCGATAATGCATTATGGGTCAACTGTCCTATAAATTAACTGCCATTTGACCATTCAGAATCTAGTATTTAAAATGAGGTACTGAGCATGTAATATACTGTTAGACAATGTATCCCTTTGATCACCTTCAATTATTCTCTATAGGATGATAGATCAAAAGGAAATTTTCAATCCCCACCCCCCCCCCATGTTGTGTAAAATGTATTCTCAATCAAAAACGTAACAGATACAAAAATCCAGCGTTAAAGAAATTTTTTTTTGCAATGACTTAACACAACAAAACTGTGTTTACATGACGTAGGTTGTTCGTTATCAGACTGACTTTCTATAAAGATTCATTGACCTTGTCAAAAAAGATGAATGGGTATTTTGGTTATCTCACGTTGGTTTAAATGAAAAACATCATCTTTTGAAAAAGTATACAAAAGTATTTTATCAACCGTCTCTATATTGAGACTTTAACTTAAAGGTGTATGGTAATGTAAAACTATATTTGATTTTGGTGTATTTGTTAAATGAATGGTTTTAGTTTTGAATAGAATCGTCGATATTTGTCTCACGAATGTCATTATCCATTTTAATAATTTAGATTAATGTTTTACTAGACTGACTCTGCCATCCAGAAAGAGTTTCAATTTCGGAAGATTTTGCTCATGTCATGTAATGTCTTGTCATGTCATGTCATGTCTTGTCGTGTTTATTTTCTTATCAACCCTAAGGTGCATACTTTATTCCAGTAAAACTAATGACTTTTACAATAATGCACTATCTATTGTTATCGTTACCATTTTTGTTATTTCGGAGAATTTAAACACTTTCCCCCCATTTTTCAATTTATAAAATATTGCGGATCTTTTTTGAGATGCTGTTTTTGAGACCATAGGGAATGAATTGGTAGGCCAATAGTTCGTGTTTCTTGCAATTTTCTCACGGCTTACTCACGTCGAGAGCTACCATGTTAGATTTTGAAAGTATAGCTCTCCATCGTGAGGATCTCCCAGCTGAAGAATTGTAACATCTTAATTTGATCAGCGCCAGTCAACGGCTTGCTGTTTGTCTCAAACTGTAGCCTACATATGGGCTCATATGTGTCTACTTTCCCCGTGCATGCAGGATCGCGGATGTGCTTCTATGGCGATCAGGAGTTCTAATCGTTTTCTGTTCGATACCCATTTCCAATATGGCGGTTAAACGGAAATACTATCGACGCATGCGCAACTTGGGAAACGTCAAGCCGCCATATTGAATATACCTGGCCAAAACTTTTGACACGACCAATGAAGTCCTGATCGATACATAGGGCAGTGAGACGTTCTATAGTTGAGCTGAATGAAAGATGGCGATGTAGGATACATTTTCAGGTATATAATGTGCAACATGAGTCAGCTGAATTCCCTGAAATTTTCTTTGAAGTCAGGATTCTTAAGCTGTTGATTCTAGCGATAGAGAGCTATACTTTCAAAATCTAAGTAGCTCTCGACGGGAGTAACTCACGGCCCTTTAGATCTGACTCTGCCTTTAACTACTTTAATTTTGATAAAGCTATGCCTAAATTGCTTGTCACTTGCCAGCATCAATGTAAATGAGAATGGATGTTCATCCGTTCGGAAATGTTTATATTGAAGTATTACAGGTTCATCTAACACGTACATATTTGAAAGGCGTAAAATATTTCGTCCTACATCCATAGGACTTCTTCAGTTACTGTGGCCGGAAGTTTGAAAATTTAGAGGGACGTTTCAAAAGTAGGTACACTCCTCTATCTCTGTTCATAGATGGCGCTAATTTGTTGATTTTAATAGCCTTGACTCCCTTGCTACTACTATAATATTCTAAACAAGCCATTAATATACAAAATGTCACCACCTGCCACTTGTCGAAGGCTTGCCGCCGAACTCCGACCGCCATCCACAAAAAAGGTTGGAGACTATCACAATGTGTCATCACTTGTCATTATGTCATTGTGTCATTATTTGCAAATATAATAAAATAGATGTCTTTGATTTTGCATTTGTTCTACAGGGAACGACGTCCAGGAATATGATGCATATGGATTTGGGCAAGCTATTCGTTGTGCTGCAGAATCAACCACAAGCCAACCGTATCAAAGTATTTATTAAGCGAGCAACTGATCTGCCTAACGTGAACCTTGTCTCTGCAGTTTTACCAGGTTTGTTAATACCTTCTTACTAATAAATTATTAGGTCTAAATGCACGTTATAAAATAGTTTTCGAAGTACTTTTGGTGTTGATGTTTGGTATTGTATAAATTATTTAAAGATTTAATCCCAGGACTCAATGAATTGTAGGACGGTTTAAAAACGTATGTGGTGTTCCAGGACTTTGAATGAGTGCGGCAGCTAAACTAAAGTAATTTCTTCATTCTATGGGCGATCATAAGTTAATCGATAGTTAAACAAATGACTGTCGAGTCATGACATTTGCTATTTAAAGGAGCATGGTAGATAATGCGACCAACTTAAGATTATACATTTTAAACCGTCCTACAATTCTTCGAGTCCTGGGCTATAATTTGTGTTATTTATTGCCTTTGACCGTTATTGATAAATTGGTTAAAGAAATCAAACCATCAACTTGTCAAATGAGTATTTTATTTTCAGAACACTATGTGATTGTTAATCTACTTAAAAACTGTAAACACGTCACCTATAAAGAAACCCGTGCACAGAAAGGACAAAACCCAGTATGGAATGAACCATTTCTTTTTGACATTTCAAACGATGAGCTTCATGATTACTCAATCGAATTTATCATTATGAGAGGACGTCTTTTCCACAAGGATGGCGTTCTTGGACATGTTGTTGTGGGTTCACGGAATACTAATAAGAGAGGTATTGATCACTGGAACGATTTCATCCATCCTGCTCACGGCCTTGAAACAGCCAAGTGGCACGATGTTTTACCAGTTGTCAGCTATATAGACGACGAGTCGAAACAGCCATTTTACTGAACATATTTAATCTCCTAGAATGTGTTGTTGTTGGTTCTCGAACTACAAATAAGAGAGGTATTGATCACTGGAACGATTTCATCCATCCTGCTCACGGCCTTGAAACAGCCAAGTGGCACGATGTCTTACCAGTTGTCAGCTATATAGACGACGAGTCGAAACAGCCATTTTACTGAACATATTTAATCTTTCTAGAATGTGTTGTTGTTGGTTCTCGAAATACATAAAAGATCAATGGAACGATTTCATCCATCCAACTCACCGCCTCGAAACGGCCAGGTGGCACCATTTTTTGCCAGCTGTTAGTTATATCGACGACGAGTCCAAACAACCATTTTACTGTACATATTAAATCTTGGACGTGATGCTGTTCTCAAAATACATATTCGAATGCGATTGATTACTTGAGCGATTTCATCCATCCTGCTAGCGGCCATGATACGACCAAGTGGGATGACGAGAAGTCGAAACAGCCATTTTACTTAAAGCATATTATACGAGTGTGGGCAACACCATAGGCTTTTAAGCCCATGGCAACACTTAGGCCGACAAATAAATGGTGATTCAAGTGGTCTTTCTATTCATATCCTCCAAGACCACTGTCTTCTTTTGAACATATTCAGTTTGTGTGGACTATATACAGACAGTCAATAGAAAGATAATGATGGTCTTTCTATTTATATCCTCCAATACCACTGTCATCTTTTAAACATATTCAATTTGTTTTGACTATATACCATATGTTTTGAAGGGATTGTGGCGAAAGTGCAATCTTCTAATTTAAAATAACTTTCATGCTTCGGGTGAACCTTATTATTAAAGCAATGGTCACATTTGCTCTACGGTGACCGTAGCTTCACAAAATCGATGTAGAAAATTTACATAGTACTGCTTATCACTATATTTTTATACTGCATATTTCTCTCGATTTTTGGGAAGATACAGTCGCCGTAGATCAAATGTGACTGAGGCATTAAAATGTTAAAATCACTATGCAGTTGAGTAATCTTTAAGGGGCAAAAATAAAAACCATTTCACCGCACTTGATTTAATTTCAAATGTTTTAGGAAAAAACTTAAAGGCAGAATCAGATATATGGGGGTGACAAAATTACAAGCAACATGTACAGTTGACGTACCAATCTATTCCTTAAAATCTCAAATACAATATCTCCCAAACGATTTACGATATGTTATAAATTGGTGAAGTTATAACAGATTAAAAGTGCAAAAATGCGTGATAAATGTTTAAATTCTCCCAAATAATAAGAATGGTAACCATTCTTATCACATGCTCTGTAAAATTCCAGTAATCTGATTGGTTGATTACCGTGTGAGTTTTCCCGTCTCACACGTCCGTCTCACACGTTACTAGAGGCAACCAGTGATGATCAATAGCAACGATGTGACGTCACTGATTATATCACTTCTAGCTAAGGAAAAAAATATGACGTCATACTATTTTACAAACAAGTACGAATACACAATATGACGTCATATTGTTTCAAAGTGAAATCAAAAATTATAATAGTTACCAGAAGTACACTGGGGTTCGTTTTTCGTACGATCGTAACTTACGATTCCGAGAAAACCATTTGTCTCTGTTTTGATGAACAATGACTTGCGACCAAATCGTAAGTTACGATGGTTTCAAAAACGGACCCCAGGGTACTGAACACAATCATAACTGACCAAATCAAAATGCTTCAAAATTCCTAGACATGTGATAAAATCGTCATCACACGTTTCAGCTTATGTGATACAGGAAATATTCCACTCGGGTAACAATGTATCACCACTCAAGCTTCGCTTTCGTGGATGATACAGTATTACCTTTCGTGGAATATTTCCTGTATCACATGCTGAAACGTGTGATAACTGATATTATAGAAAAATTATACATTGTTGTAAAAATCTTTAGTTCTCCTGAAATAAAGTGTGCATTTTGGGGATTTTTAGAAAATAGATATGAAAAGGAATAATATAAGCCAGAAATATTCTAAAATTGAAACAATTTTTTGCCAGACTGATTGCAAGATCTGATTCTCTCTTTAATGCAATGTGAATTTATGATGTTAGTACGATGTTTTATAAATAACTGTTGATCATGATTTATTTGTTTCACTTTGTATTTCACTTTGTATTTCACAACGTGGAAATAGACAAATCTCGTTTTCACGTCCATTGTGTTAAAAGTATGGATTGCATTTACATTTGAAGGTAATTATTTTTGCAAAATGTTGAACTTATTTACACAAAAGATCTTCTTTTTCTGATTTTCAGTGCATGGGAAGATTATTCTTTAAAACTAATACTTCTTCAAAATTATAGAATGATATTGAAAGTCTTAGTTTTGGAGATATCAATTTTTGAGGACCAAACTTTGCTGAAAAGAATGGATAGCATGAGAGTTTCCTATGGAAAAATAACAAGGGATGTGTAGTTTTTAACTTTATCACATTTCAATACCCATCCCCTTTTCACAAGTTGTTAATATATGGTAGAAAAAACTTTCGATATGTTTAATTTGAAGAAATAGATTTTCTTTTCAGAAAATAAGCTCGATCAACCTTTTTAAAAAGTGACAAGATTAGGTCCGAATCCAAAAATTTTCAGAGAGTTTGATTGCTATTTTTATTGTAATAAAACCCGGGCCCTCTCTCTTAACAACAAAACGTGGTAGCGTGGCTAGGGCTGGGAATATTATGAAACTAAACTTCGACTTGGTCTTGAATTGAGTGAATCAAATTATTTGCTGCTTGGTCAATATAATACTGGAAGGTGCTGACACCTTTAAATGACAAACTGGACTGAAATAATACTAACTGTGGGAGGGGGTGATTGTAATAGAAAATGATATGAATGGAATCTTCAACACAACTTGCACCTAAGTATTCTCAACAGATTGCAAATGTGAGCTTGATATGACCCCTTAAATATATGGGTTTTAAATGAAGATGAAACAATCTGTTGAAAATAAACTTAGATCAAATTGACCACTTTTACGCAAAACAACAGACAAAGAAATTAAGATTATATAATTTTAATAATGATATAAATTTGGATATACAGAATATACAGTACTGTATAAATAGAGATTATCCTATATGAGGTTCAGGATATTGGGATTATCGCAAGGCAAATATAATATATTTGCCCGAGGGCCGCAGGTCACGAGGGAAAATATATTATATTGGCCAAGGGATAATCCCAATATCCTGAACCAACTATAGGATAATATGTCTATCCCATACCAATCTTGGTCATCCGGTACTCATTGTTCAATCGTGGAAATATTTTAGAATATTCATGTCCAGTTTTGTTTTCTTGGCCGTGGCCGATTTTCCTGTTCTCTCAAATATTCCCACATTTATTTTCTCGAATTTCTGATTGATTAAGTGGATGTTCCTTCCCTTTTTTAAACCATCAAACAGATCCCTATTATCTGTGTTTTCTCCATTGTCGTTTACAGTCATTACGCGAACGTTACAAATTATGAACAAATATGCGAGCGGCGATTATGACGTAGCGGGCAGATATACTATATCTGCCCGCTCGGAGCGGGACGTAAAGCTATATCTGCCCGCTGATGAAAATATAAGTTTTTACAAACCGGCTTTATGTACCTATAACACGTCCAAGTATGGGATAAAATGGTATATTTACAAAGGAATATTTACATAATCAGAGTCACGAAGTTCGAACGAATAAGACACTGTCAACTCTCAACAGGAACGATCTTATTATTGAACTTACTCTTGATTAAGAATCTCACCAATCTCACTAACTACCTCATTCCCAACATTTAACTCCACTTACATGACAAAACTTCTCTACGTATATGCATGACCTGAACTAATCAACACTATAGTGACCATGAGCACCTTAAAATAATGGAACACTCACAAAGCAGAAATTCATGGAAATCCAGATTGATACACACTGATCTCTGAGCCAAATAACAGAGAATATTCCTTTCAGAACCCAACAGAAATACACTTGAATAAAGTTGGAAAGTATTGTAACAGCTCCGGTCATAATCCCGAAACTGCCACGTACGGGCTGCCCAATCAATCAATTAACCAATACTACAACCAAGCAACCCGTACAAACAAACTGGACCGAACGAGCAAACAAATGGTAGCGTGGTAAGCTGAACGGTCAAAGCACGTAGTGAATCGGATTTGAGCTGAAAGAGATTGATTGCTTGACTATCTGCAAGGTGCTGCCATCTATGAATAGACACAAAAGTTGGAAACACTAATTGAACAAATATGATTTGGAACAGAATGAAGAAATGAAGTTAGGAAGATATCAGAAGTTAATTATAGGGCCATTTTACTGTTATTCCATCTAAACCATCAATCAATGACTACAAACAATCAACACAACAAATCAAGTAAAGTTTTAAAGTTTAATTGTAAATAAATAATCACAGGCTGGTATCGAAAAATTTGTCCGCTGTGACGGAGCGTGCTATTTTGCATAGAAACACTAAGAAACCCAGACAATTTTTTTTTTTCTCATATGTTTCGCTATTCCAAAGAAAATTTCTTACTCCATGCAATGGGTATATCATTTGCGGGTAACTTTAACTTTTGTTTGAAGTCCAACAACGCTAAGAGTTGCAGCTCTCCCTTCATCCCTCTGGCTGCCATAACGAGCGATCAGGCCTGATCAAGTGCCAGAAGTAATCCAAATCACCAATTTAAATCAAAACTGCCTCGTGAGTGAAAAAGTATGGCGCCAACTCTCTTCTCGCCGTCTCTCGCGAGAGATCAACCCTTACAGAATAAAATGTTAAAATACCCTGGCAAAACAAATGTACTGAATACAAAAGCTATATAGCTCAAGCAGCTATTTCCCTGACCCTGCAGCGGAACTATTCGCGCTGTAGAGCGGAAGGAAAGTAGCGACACCGGGTGCCAGGTTGGCAATTTATGTAAGAGTAAAATATGACTAGCCAACCCAGGGTCGCTACATACCTCCCCTCTGAGAGAGGTCTTTAACCTCAAAATGTACAAAATGGGAAGAATGCTATAATGCAACATACTATCTTAAAGGGCATAAAAATCACTACAAAATTAAAGATCAATGACAAAAATATGGCTACGTAGCTTACAAAATGTACAGAAAATGATTACAAAGCATTACAAAAATTACATACAAAATCTTTA